TCTCAACAAAAGAGTTCTGTGCTTTTGTCCAGCCAGCAGATTAGCGGGCTCCCGTCATCTCTCCAGCTACACTTCTCTGCGCCAAGTCCTGCTCAGATTTTTCCCGGAGAATCTTTTTCTTCTTCTGTATTTTCTTTAACCTGTAGAAGTCTCACTCCCTCGCATCCAACTCTGTGATGATACAAGCAAGGGTGCATCCAGTCTGGGGAAGGATGACATGTTCAGTGGCATTTACACGCCTGTGGGTTATCTTAACAGCTTCATCCAAAGTAACAAAGGAAGTCTGCAGCGAAGCTACCCCTACTGCTTTGGCATTATTCCTCTTTAATTCAGAGACATCGTCCCCACCTCTGGCTAAACCAGTCAGTTTGTAACTGTCAGTTCCTTCATGGTTATGTTCAAATACTGGCAAATATCACCTGCGGCATTATCCTCGCCGGAAACTCCACTTAGCCTTCACTTACACTGTAGATAACTGTGGTGCCCAAGTCCCCTCGGACTGTGAACGTGGCCTCGGCAAGTAAGGGCAGCTTCTCTCATCACAGTTTGATCTCTGTTATTTTCTTGAGGGTCTGGTGAAATCAGGGAGTTAAGGCATCATATTGTTTCTTCCGGAGGTTTTGACCTGTCTTGCTCCTTTTAATGGAGCCTTTGCGATGGTCTGTGCCACCCGCCAGGGAGAGGTCTCACTTGGGTCTTTGCCCACATTCTGAAGGTAACTATTTGGCTCGGGTCCCCTGTAACAGCCTCAGCCACAGCGCCGTCCTCTGGGAGGAGGAGGCTCGTTGTGCCCATTCTCGAATGGGGTGTGTGTGTGTGTGTGTTCAGTTTTGATATAAATGCTCCTGTTTTGTTAAGTTTGAAACCGGCTTCTGTTACTTGCAAACTCACAGGTAGTCTACTTTTGAATTCAACAGAAATAAAAGCTAACGTTTATTGAGCACATACTTTGCATCAGGCACTGTTCTAAGTGACTTACAGGTTGTAGCCCCCTAGATATGTGTTGTTTTTATAAACATCATATGTTGTTCTAAATATTAACCATCATTACAATTTAGTTTACAAATCCACTTATCAGCATAAATAAACAGGTTTAGCAATCCAGCATGGCCTAGATTTGAATTGGCTAAGTTTTATTTGTGTTTTGGTTGATTGAAAAAATCTAAGCTGTTGGTGTCACAAGCGTTCATGAATCACGGGAGCCAGTCTTCAAGTGAGATAGCATGGCTCACGTTTTTAAAAATTACATAGTATGCATGTTTTTATTTGTTTTAAGTAAATGTCTGACAGTATTCAATTCAATAAATTCTATAGAAGAGGTCTCCCAAACTTCAGTCTCCCCCTAAAATAAAGGCAGAAAATAAAAGCTCATTTAAGACACACAGTTTTTTAAAAATTGCATTGGCATGAGGGTAGCAACCTGCACGGGCAGTGACCAGATATTCTGAATTCTTGTGTGAGGCAAGGACCATATTTCCTGAAGTTTGGAAAGCGACCAGAAGTTTGTTGAGGGTCCCCAAGGTGACTGTGCTGCTGGCCTTATAATAGAACTACATCTGTGACAGGTAGAGCCCCTTTGGGGCCCGGGCACTGTCCTCTGGTTCCCAGGGGGCTGTGAGCTTGAGTTATGAGTGAGTCAAGTCATTGAACAGGGACTGCCCTTACATGCCTGGCTTCTGGAAAATCAGTCCTTTATGCTGCAGCTTCTTTCCACCCTTCGACATCAACAGGAAGATGTGGAGCCCCCTTTCCCACATGATAGTCATGTTTCCACCCTGGGAAGAGGTAGATGAATGGAGTCCCACAGGGTAGCCCGGCAGCAGGCGTGGATTCAGGGAATGGCCTCCCGCACCCATTGCCACGGTGCACCCTGAGCTGTGGAAAGTGGCAGTCAGCAGAGCGACATCGCCGATCTGCTCCTCACGGGCCCTGTGTCCCTTTGACTAATGTCCAGCTGCTATATTTAGATGGACTGATGACAGGCAGCTGGCTCTCCCACAGCCGATGCAGCAGGCCCAGGGTTGGCCTCTGTTCACCCACCTTCCTCAGCAGAGCTCAAGACAGCTTTGGACATTGAGGTGCAAGGAACGCTCAGTCCATCTCCTTCCCCTCCATCTGTTCCCTGGTGGCGACCCCACCCCTCTTAACCTCTGGGCTTTGACCTTGGTGATTGCTTTCCTCACTCTTTAACCTTTGGACTCGATGCTTGACACTTTTTCCTAAAATAACTGTATTTCTTTCTCTGTTCCATCACTGTACTGCCTTATGCCATCTTGGGGAAGCTCTGGGACTCTCCCATCTGGGTAAGGCTGGGCGGGCAGAGCTGTATGGGGCTTGCCTACTCTCCCTCTTCCCAGTATTAGCCCCCACCAATTCAAATCTCGGTCTCACCACTTAATGGGAGGCTGTGTGCAAGTTACCTTGACCATTTGACTCTGTTTCTTGTATAAATGGGGTCGTGAGGCCCTTTCTCACAGGGCTGTAGTGAGATTTACTGATTACACACACACACACACACACAGTCCTTCACTGTGTAATACTCAGATACTAGCTAAATAACTCTAGAAATAAGACAGCTTTCTGTATTTCCCTTTTCCCCCACCTTGGTCTCTGCTCCCAGGTTGTGATGTCCTGTCCTCCTGCTCCAGTCCCCCTCTCCTATTAGTCAGTAAAAGGGACTCAGACAGAGTGCTCCCCTCCCCTAGTAGCAGAGAATCTCTCATTGGCTGCCATCACCATGGCAACTCACTGTCTCCTCCCCTCTCCCCCCTTCCCCGCTTTTCCAGAGCAGCCGATTGTGGAGTTCCAGACTTCTCAGCGCTGGGAGGGAGGAGGAAAGAAAAGACGGGGCGGGGGGGCGGGGGGAGAGGCTCCCTTGACTGCAAAGGCAGCCACATGGTTCAGGTTTGCTTGGATTCCTGAGACCAGCCTGGCACGCAGTGTGGCCTCCACTATCTCTGCACATTCAGGCAACCATTTAGATATTCCCTAGGCACTCCTGATTCCCTTTGAATTGGGCCAGCTTGGGACCTGAGGGTCCTGGGTTCCTGGCATGTGGCATGCATGATAGGCATGTTATTCCAACCGAAGAAGGGTTTTCGTTCCACTGCCTTTGCAACGCTGCTGGGGGTTACACGACAGGACCAGTGGGAGCGAGCTTTGTGAACTCCAAAGGCTGTCAGGGGTCATTCATTATTCCAGTCACCCCCCACCCCCACCCTGTGTGGTTGGCCAGAGCGGGGCTACAAAATGGGTGCTTTCCTCTCCTTTCCTGATGAGCGGGGGGGGGCGGTTGGAGTTGGAGATATAAGTCCACGTGGGGCCCCCAGAGAACAGCACAGGGCACTGGGCAGGGAGCTGCCAAGCAGTGGGTCCCAGGTGTGTGGTCCGTGCCAGGGCCCGAGAACCTGCTTCCTCCCCCGAGACGCTTGCAGAGCGGATACACGGCATGGCCTCTACATGCACAAATGGTGATGTGCACCTGCTCTTGGTGCTTGCAATTCAAAAATGATTTAAAAGCATGGCCTGAAGAAAGGTAACTTTTGTCTGTTCTTTGTCAGCAGGGCGGTGGTGGTAGAGGGTGGGGGTCAGTGACATTGATGGTGGTAGAGCAGACCCACCATAGAAAGGGTGAGGGGAGGACATCCTGACACCTGCTACAATGAGGATGAGCCTTGAGGATATGATGCGAAGTGAAGTAAGCCAGAAACAAAAGGACAAATACTATATGATCCCAATTATATGAGGTAATACATGAGGTAATGAATTTGCTACAAGAGGCAAATTCACTGGGACAAAAAGATTAGAGGTCACCAGGAGCCGGGAGGGAGAGGGGGAGAGGGGAGTTAGTGTTTGACAGGGACAGGGTTTCAATTTGGGAAGAAGAAAGAGTTCTGGAGAATGCTGATGGCTGCACAAAATCGTGAATGTGCTTAATGCCATCGAAGTGTATACAGAGAAATGGGTAAAGGGGTAAGTTTGGTGTTTTGTGTATTTTACCACAGTAAAAGAAATCCACCCCCCTCCCCAGAAAAAGGAGGTGAGGTGAGGCAGGATGCTGGGGTGCTGCCATGGGAGTGCGGGGATGGAGAACACACTCAGTGAGGCTTCGATGGGAGAGGCATTTTAGAAAAGGGGTCTTGTTTGACCGGCTGCCTGGCCCTGCCACTTCCTGCGGACCGGCTGGCTGAGAAAGTGACATCCTGCCCTCATTTCCTGAGGGAACTAGGGAAGCCACCATGGATGACCCGTCCCCTCCCCTCGGGGGTCCATCTGTTTTAGGAATCACCAGGTAGTGATGCTCCTCAGCTTCAGTCATGCTCTGCTTCCCTCTGGACGGCCCAGGGAGGGTTGAGTGGCCTGCGAGGACCCACCAGCGCTAGTCAAGTTGCCACAGGAGAGGCGTGGCAAACATCACAGCCAGGTGGCAAGAGGGAAGCCCTGCTCTCCTGGGACCCACGGGCCACGCCCTCACGAGCTCCAAGGCCTGGGGTGTCTGCAGCCCCTCCTTGCCTTCTGAGTCACCGTTCAAACCCACCAGCCCGTCTGACAGGAGCTGGAAACAGGCACCAAGCCCTCTGGAAGCTATTTTTGGGGCTCATCTGTTCTTTCTGATTTCTCCTCTAGATTCCATATTTTCCCACCCCCAGATCTGAAACAGCTAAAGATTCTGGAAATCATTCATCATTCCCCCTCTCCAGGTGCTCTCCCTCGCTGGACAGCTCAGCTTGCAAGCGGTGCCTTCACCCCCACCTTCCTGTACCACTCCCCCCTTCTTTTCTGGATCCCCACCCTCACCCTCCGGCCCCCAGCTCTGCAGGCGGCATGGAGAGCAGGCTATTTGTCTGACATCATCCTCCACTCCCCGGCCTGCTAAGAGTTACTCACTCAGGCAATCCCTGCTCCGCCAGAGGAGGCTGTCCAATTGCCAAGCAACCCACTGCTGGCCAATCACAGAGCTCAGAGGTGATGTCATGGCCAGAGCGAGCAGCGGTGCTGATGTGGGGAGAAGCCCAGGGTACCACTAATTGAGGGAGTGAGGAAGGGAGCAGCTCGCCTCGAACGGGACCACAGGTAAGTAGGAATGAGATGCAAATTATTTGAGGCTTTTCAGACAAAAGAGAAAAAAAATTAGCAGCGGCAGGGAGGAGAAGTGAGGGGTCTGGTACCATTTGTGTCGCCTTTTGGTGTCACTGGATCAATTAAACTTTGTCAAATCCTGGGGGAAACGGGGTGATGTGAAAAGAATGGGGCTATCCCAAGGGGTGAGGATGGGGTAGAGGCAGTCCTTCTATTCCAGAGCTCAGGAGAGAGAGAGGCAGGCGGGAATTGCTAGGGTTTCTTTCAGGTCGGACATCCATGGTGAGTTTGCTCTGCATAAAAACATTCTGTTGCTCAGGCAGAACGGTTTTGTTCAAAGTCTGGCTTCGCCTGAGCTGGCTCTGATGCCCAGACCCGTTTCCAGCTAACAGCTGCCCTGGGTTTTACATTTCCTTTCTCGACCACAGTTTTCCTTGGCTCCTTTCCTTTCTCCTCTATCTGCACTGGGTTACTTTTTGCTCCTGGTTCTGAGGATACAATGAGATCACCACCTCTTCCTCGCCCCGCCCCGCCCTGGGGTCAACCTGCTCCTACCTGGGCAGGGCAGTGGGCTGTCAGGCTGTCAGGCTGCAAACTGCGGGGAAGCCACAACTGCCACGCCCTGGTCCCCGCTGGTGGCCGAGCCGGCCCCTCCTCGCTCAGCCCACTGCCCTCGCCAGGAGTTTAGGGGTTGCTCTCTTCTCATCCAGGGGGCCAACACTGGGGATTTGCTGTCCAGTGGCCAGCTCTGTCCCCACGTGGTGGTGCTGTCTTTGTCTCATTCCTCCCAGGAAGACACAGTCAGGTGTGGAGGAGTCCCATTGTCCTGAAAAAAAAAAAAAAAAAAAGGCAGGTCCCCTGAACCCCTTGCGGGGGTCAGAAATATTGAGGCAGCCCAGGTCAGAACCCCCTGGGCAAGGATACCCCCGTGTCTCAAGACCAAGACAACACACTGGGAGGGGATGGCCAGCGGTGGCCTGCTGGAGTTCTGCGGGGTGGGTGACAGGTTGAGAAGGAATGTGGGAGAATCTGTCTCTACTGAGGCTGAGGCCCCCTTTAGGGGGAGGAAACCTCTCCCAAAGGCAGGGTGCCAGGGGGAATGAGATCATCCATCAGATGAGGAGATAATCATAGTGCTGGAGCGAGAGGTGAGAAGGCAGAGAGGCAAGGTCTGATTAGCAGCTCCACCGAACGAAGCTAGAACCTCCAGAGACCCTACCTTGTCCTCTAGGGCCAGCCAGCACCCTCTCCTCAGCTCGCTCCAAGCCTCCACCTTGCTGCTAGGAACTGTGCTTGCACCCTCCTTGAAACCCACTCCTCACCAGTGCCAGAGCACCTGTCAGCAGGTCCCAGCCCTTCTGGGATCCCCAGCTCCACCCAGGCCACTCCTGGAACAGGTTTGGAGTGGACAAGGATCCTTAACTGCTAGATGGATCCACCAAGAGCATTGTAGGGAGTGAGCTCCCCATCACCGAGGGCATTCAAGCAGATGTTGGCTGACTACTTGCAGGGTGGCTGTAGAGATTTCTGCATTGTGTTGGAGACTGGGTCTTGGTTAGTGTTTTTCAAACTGCAGATTGAGATCCAATAGTGTATTGTGAAATCCAATTAGTGGGTTGTAACTGGTATTTTTTTTCAAATAAAATGGGATAAAATAGAGTAGAAAAAAAGTCGAAACACATCCCATATAGTGGAGTAAATGTTTCCTGTACCTTTTTTTAGTTATGTATTTTCTGTTATGTAAATATTTATAAATATAATGTTTATATTTATAAACATATTTTAGAAATATTATTACATGTATAAATAAATACAATATATTTATGTTTATATTTCAGTTACATGTACATTTGTGTGTATGTATGTAGACGTATCAGTGACTATACATATGTGTGTATGTCAGTATTATGACATGTACATATTGGATCATGATACAAAATGCAGTTCTTTATTGTTGGTCCTAGTAAGAAAAAAACACTGACTAAGTGGCCCTTATGACCTTTTCTAAGACTGTAAACCTGTGGATAACTCTTACTAGACTATGAACTTCTTTTTAAAAATTTTTAATTTTTAATTGTGCTAAAATACACATAACATGAAATTTACCATTTTAACCATTTTATAGTGCACAGTTCAGTGGTATTAACTATATTCACATTGTTGGGCAACCATCACCACCATCCATCCCCAGAACTTTTTTCATCTCTCCAAACTGAAACTCTGTCCCTGTTGAACACTAACTCTCCATTCCCTCTCCCCCCAGCCCCTGGCAACCCCCATTCTATTTTCTGTCTCTGTGAATTTGACTACTCTAGATACCTTATATAAGTGAAATCATATAGCCTTTGTCTTTTTATGACTGGCTTCTTTCACTTAGCATAATGTCCTCAAGATTCATCCATATCATAGGCTATGAACTTTCAAGGAGAACTGTCGTGTTCAGACACATCCCAATGACCACACACAATATAGGTCTTCAAAATCCAAGTACTGTGTTAAGTGGAAAACTGTGTCTCTTTAGGGGGATATTGTGTTCTAAAGGACCTATCAAAAATTGAGAAGTCTGGTCTAATATTGTTCTTCCTGAGCAGAGAGTTGAACAGACATACTACTGGCTGGTGGGGTGGTGAGAGTGTCTTGCATTTTTTTTGCTTAATATTTAGATTTCATTTTGGCTCAATAAAAGAAATCCCAGGGCCAAGCAAGTTTGGCTGCCTTCTCTCATCCGACTAGGTCATTTAAACCACATTTGCCCTATGGGACGTAAGTGTGCTGACAGATAAGACTTAAAGCAGAGCAATAAAGATTGATAAACTGAGTTCCAGAGAGTAAGGTGTGACAGGAAAGAAGGCCGAGAAGGACGGTGAGAGAAAGGTAAGTCCAGAAGGACAGAGTGTCCACATTAAACCAATAGTATGAAGAACGGGAAAATTCAGATCTTTTGTGCTGTTGATTTTAAATAATTGGGTGTGTTCAAAATCAATATCCTAATCCAGAAGGGCTTAATTTTTCCTGAACCCTAAGATCCTTTCTCCAGACTCCCTTGATATCTTTATATTATTTCTCACTTAACTGGAGACTATCATTTGGAGATACAGAATCCCCAGAGATTTTGAAATCATCGGTAGATAGAAATGAGACATTTATTTGGGGAGGAGGCTAGAAATTTGGGAGAAAATTATAAAACATTCAAAATGTGATTTTTATAATGCTCTGTAGAGAAACAAACTCTATTCCCCCCCCTTTTTTTTGGCTTGGCTAATAAACACTCATCATGTATAATTTAATTTGCTTCTTAAGTTAGAATTTGCTATATTTAGAGATGGGATAGTCTGGAAAAAGATTATTTTTTTCTGTTTTTCTTTGAGGAAGAGTATAGAAAAAAAACCTCTTCTGATATTTTAAAAAGCATTTTGCAGGTTTTTACATTTTTATTTCCACTAGGAAGACAGGAAAATACACAGGTAGAGGTCCACTACCCCGGCTTCCCCACACACACCTACGCCTCTGCCTTCCTTCCCCACCTCTCACTGGTCTTTTTTATCCATTCAAACTGATCTTTGCTGTGTGTCCATTCCCTTAGGGTCCTTCTGTCAGAGGTAGGTGGTAGCAGGCAAGAGGACAGAACAGATTGGAAGGGGTAGGGCTCTGGGGTGATTGGCCTAATTTAGGCAGAGCACAGGCAACCCAGGAGTTCAGAGAACAAACCAGGGACTGTGAATCCAGAGAAGGGAGCTGAGTGCAGACTGTAGGGTGAGAGACCCAGCTGGCGAGGGGGTGAAGCAGAGTGCAGAGTTCCAGTGGATCGTTTGGGGGTCAGTGCCCAGAAATGCGAGCCAGGTAGAAGGCAAAGTTGAAACCAAGAATGAGGAAACAGGTGGATAGACTCCGTTAGCTGATAATGCTAACACAACTTACCTGACTATTGATCCTGGGACAGGTGTATCTGTCTTCTTCATCTGCCACCAAACAGATATGTAAGGACTCAGTAAGTATTCCATGAACCCTGCTTGAGAAATATATTACCCCAAAAGTAGTCTGTCTAGCTAACCGAAAGTGTTTTTTTTTTTTTTTTTTTTATCAAATTAAAGAACTCAGGTACAGAGTAGATATGGTATTGATAATGGTGACAAAGAAAATACTAGAATTTAGATTGTTTGTCTAATTATTTTTCTTTATTGGGGGGGCAGAAGGAGAGGGAGAGAAAGAATCTTCAGCAAGCTCCATGCCCAGTGCAGAGCCTGACGGAGGTCTTGATCTCACAACCCTGAGATCACAATCTGAGCTGAAATCAAGAGTCAGATACTGAACAAATTGAGCCACCCGGGGGCACTGAGTCTTTGTCTAATTATAATCAACATATTTATAGAGCTGAATACAAATGTCAAATATCTTAAGGCGAAGGAATATGTCTACTAAATTCATCATTGTGTTACTTCCTAGCACCTTCCTAGCGTTATGCATAGACTAGATTCTAAATAAATATTTGTTGAAAGAGTAATTTAAGAAAGAAATCAATAATAGTAATCCAGAACTGAAAATACAGATCACTGTGACAAATCAGAAGATTTGTGGTGAAAGGAAATAAAAGCATGCAAAATCTCTCATCTTTCACAAAGAAAACCATTTGCTACTATTTTCTTCTTAATGTAATAAAACATAGATATAAATGATTTTTAACTTGGAGATTAAAACCAGATGTAAAACTTGCAAAGCACTGGGGAAGAATGAAAGAATAAAGAAAACAAGAATAATATTGTAAAAGATGAGAATCTCCCTTGGTCGTAGCTAAATGTGGGTTGGGAACCTGGCTCTGCTCCTCCAACTTAATCTTGGGAAAGGCACCGACCCTCTTGGGTCCTCTGTCTCTTCATCTGAAAAGGGTGGGAAATGGAGATGCCAGAGATCACCACGGCTCCTCCCATCTACGGGCAGAGAGCTTGACCCGTGGAAATGCCTACAGATCTATTGCTTGTTCTCTGCTGATGTGAAAG